GACACTTTTTCTTATCGTAGTATTCCTTCATTTTACGTTGTTTCTTTTCAATCACACTGGTTGCTTCTTCTTGAAGTTCCTTGGGATCAGTCCATTTGTCTGCACTCTCGTCGGCAAGTTTTCGAAGGATACCATCAGTGAATCTTGGAGAATATCCATGCAAGATTTCAAAAGGCGTTTTATCAGTAGTTTTATTGACGGTGCTGTTTAGATTTCTTTCAGTTTCTTTGATTCGTAAATCCCAATCTTTATGACGTGGATCACTCATCGATGTTGTTATTGTAGATAGAATTGTTCTATTAGCCCGTTGTACCATTCCATTACCCATGGGATGTTGGGTAGAATTCAATGTGTGATTTATTCCATTGTCGTGACAGTATTGTTCAAACTGATGTGACGTATAGCATGAACCTCTGTCACTAATAATCCGATCAGGCAGTCCAAAATCCTGAACGAAATTCTCCAGAGCTTTTAGAACGTGTTGAGAATATGTGTTTTTGACTGGAGAGAGTCTGGTAAATCTTTTAAAATTATCTATGATAACGAGCAAATCCTGATTTCCTCTAGAACTCTTCACAAATGGGCCTAAATGGTCCATGTGTATGATTGAGAATGGTCTTTTTCCTGGCTTAATTGGATGTAAATGTCCCTGTTGTTTTCCCCCGGGAATTTTATTCACTAGACATTCAAAACACATGGATATGTGTTTTCTTAAATAACGCTTCATGTAGGGAAACCAATAAAGTTCTTTGATTTTGTTGACAATCCTGTCAAGAGAAAAATGTCCCATCAAATCATGAAATTTAACAGCGGTACTTTTTCTCGTACTTTTTGGGATCACGTAGAGTAGTTTTTCCTTTCCTTTTTCTAGTATTCTTCGGTATAATCGATTTCTCTTAAAAACATAATTACTTATTTTCTGTCTTTCTTCTGCAGATCTTTCTCCTTCACTTTCTTAAAAAAGTTTATTAATGTCTTTAACTCCTTGTCAGTATGTTGGATAATTAAAATTTGCTCATCTTCGCTCAGTGTTAGACATACTTCAAATTTTTTCTGGATAAGGCTTGTCATGGTGTCTTCTGGGTCTGAGATAGGAGCTCAGCTCAAAGCATCTACGTGGGTCATTTTAATGCCTGGTTTGTGGCGAACTTCAAAATTGTACTCTTGTATTAGAATACTCCATCGTGCGATTTGAGGATTACTTGACTTTTTGGCATTCATGTAGATTAATGCTTGACAATCTGTCACAACTGTAAAATTGATGCCTAACAAAAACTGTCTGAGTCTTTCTAGTGTCCGAACTATGGCCATCAACTCCAATTTACTTGAATGGTAATTCCTTTCAGGTTCAGTAGTCTTCTTGCTGACACAGTAAACTAGGTGCCACTTATAATCGCTTCCCAACTGAAGTAACATTCCTGCGATGCCGTCTGCACTTGCATCAGTATGAACTTCGGTTTTAGCTTCGGGATTGTAAAGTGCCAAAATTGGTTGTCGTGCCGCGTGCCAGTTCATTTTTCAATATTTCGAAAGATTTCTTTTTCTTTTCGTTCCACTTAAATTCTTCATTCTATTTAGTTAATTCTGTTAAGGATTTAGCTTTTATGGCGTAATTCTGAATAAACCTTCTAAAAAAACTTGTTAAACCAATTTTTAGGTTCGGGAAACTTGGAAATTACCTCAACCTTTCTGGAGCCCGGTTTTACCCCATCTTTATTGACAATAAATCCCAGAAACGGAATATATACTATGCGTAGCCTGCTGTAACGATTCACCAGTAACGTTACCCTAAACAGCGACGAGAAATATTCCGATTGTTCTCTCTCACGGATAAGCCTACAACAATAGCCTCTAAGAATAACCTCTGACTTAAATTATTTAAGACCAGAACGCGTCTTTAAAACAAAAATAATAAAATTTAATTTTTAAAATTGAAGCATATTTGATTAATAGTGATAAAACTAAATTTATAAATGTCAAGCACACTTACCGAATTTCGAATAGACTTTCGATTGTCAACACACTTGCCATTTGCCGGCTCTCACGGAACTCTGGGAAGTGAGCTAGTTAATATGAAACGTACTTTAAACAACCTTAAAACAAGCTTAGATATAAATAAAATGACTTCATACACCGCAATAAATACCTCACTCTCTTTAGTTGAAATAAGGTATATTTCTTTATACCTCGTAAATACCTCACTCTCGTTAGTTGAAATAAGGTAAATTTTTTGATACCTCATAAATGCCTGTTTTGTTGCAAGTGTAAGGAAAACAACCACGTATACCTTAAAAATCACCTCATGATATGAAGTGATTTTAAAACAACCTCAAAATAAGCTTAGGCATAAATAAAATGACTTCATATACCCCAATAAATACCTCACTCTCATTAGTTGAAATAAGGTACAATTTTTTATACTTAAAAATACCTCTTCTGCTGCAAGTATCAGGAAATGAGCCTGGTATACCTTAAAAATCTCCTTATTAATCTGGTTGATTTGAAGTGAATTTAAAACACCTCAAAATGAGCTTAGGTATAAATAACATGACTTCATACACCTCAATAAATACCCCACTCTCTTTAGTTGAAATAAGGTACATTTTTTTATACCTCATAAATACCTTTTTTGTTATAAAGTATCAGAAAATAAACCTGGTGTACCTTGAAAACCACCTCATCATCCTGGTGGATTTGAAGTGAATTTTATACAACCTCAAAATAAGCTGAAGTGTATATAAAACAACCTCGTACAACTTAATTACAACCTTTACGAGGTCTAATTTTTATTGCTGTTTTCTCAGCAACCTTAAATATACCTCAGAACAACCTTGATACCTCAAAAATACCTCAAATCAACTTCAAATATACCTTAAATTTTCGTAAGGGTGATGTCATTTTCGACCAATTGGCGATTGAAATGGGCTACAGGTGGCGTAAAGCAGAACTCTCTACCTATGGCAACACCTCGCATGCTTTCAACAGTAGCATGTGGAGAGTCATGGAAGAAGGAAGTACCTTAGTGTATGTCTTGACATTCAAATAGAGTTTAAAACCTTTTTAGTTAGGAAACTATATAGAACTGAAAACTAAACGTATTACTAAAGGAAAGTATCATGGAAATTTTAGAAAATATTTTTAACAATTAAATACGAAAAATATTAAGAAACGGTAAAATATCGTAGTACATTCCTATACAACTGAAAAGAGGAGGAGAGGAAAGGGGGAACGGCAAAGGCATGGAACCGGTCTTCTCCCCAGATGGCGTATTTGAGCGTAGCGTGAGGGCACCATTCACTATGCATATGATTTACGTCCCGCAGTGGACTGATCATTAAGACACGGTTCCCAGCAGATCACCGAAGTCAAGCATCACTGGCTACGGTCAGTGTGCGGGTGGGTGACCTCTTGGATCAGTCTGCGTAGGGACCGAGGGTGTGCGGTATTGGTCCTCGTTAAATTGTGCTACCGTAAAGTGCTCGCTCGCGCAGGTCGTCGGGCTACCGAAGCGGGGGTGCCACCCCCTCTGCAATGGATCAAAAGTGTGATGGCATGTGTTCGGATCATCCTCAGGGATGTTTCCCAGACCGTCGCCAATAGCCCATTGTGCAGCTCTAGTGTGACGTAAATTAACAACAACAACAACAGCATATGATTTACACACCTGCGGCGGCTATGTGCAAAAGAGAATATTTTGAGCGTATGGATGGGTGGCCTAATGTAAATAATAACAAGCGTCCTTAAACGGGAAGAAATTTAGAAAATTTCCGGTGTATCCCTCCGCTTATGTTATGACTACGAGGCGATGTGTGAACAAGTCTAATGCAGTTTTGTTATTGTAATTTGGGTTTAAATCTAAACATAATTGTACCATTCATAAGAGCTTTCAGAAATACATTGATTCTCAGAGGTCGCAAGGCCAAAAAATTTTTTGGAAAGTTGTTGTTGTTGTTGTTACTTTACGTCGCACTAGAGCTGCACAATGGGCTATTGGCGACGGTCTGGGAAACATCCCGGAGGATGATCCGAAGACATGCCATCACAATTTTGATCCTCTGCGGAGGGGATGGCACCCCCGCTTCGGTAGCCCGACGACCTGCGCGCGAAGTCGAGCACTTTACGGTAGCACAGTTTAACGAGGACCAATACCGCACACCCTCGGTCCCTACGCAGACTGATCCAAGTGGTCACCCACCCGCACACTGACCGTAGCCAGTGATGCTTGACTTCGGTGTTTTGGAAAGTTAATATCTCATTGTGAATAATTCTTAAGAATTGCCATGTTTTGTATTTTATCCCTTATTTGGCTGCATTTGAATAAAATGTCGCCAAAAATATCTTTAAAAATATCTTTTTAAGTTAGCCTAATTAGAAAATATTCTAATGATTATAATATTAATATGATAATGCTGAAGTTTAAAGGCTGAAAGAAAGAACTCGGTACATGCGAAATACTGCAAAAGATATAATGCAATAATATGATGGCGCGTTTTTTCAATCTGCGGCGTAAAAATATATCGGAATCAGTAACCCGGAAGTCTTGCGAGAGCAATTTAACCACTAGCGCCACCACCCTTAGCTTTACACGATCACCCATCCATTGAGGATGAAAGATAATCTTATTGTTGACAACACTATTTTCCCCCATGAGAAATTTATCGTGAATTCTCTAAACGCGAGAGCCAGTGTTTAGGCACCACATGCAAATAAACTTTCCGACTGCCTCTGAGAAAAAATTCGCAAATGCAAATTCTGAGATTCGGACGGGAACCCTATTGGCGAGCTCTTTTGCAGGTAATCATATATCACCAGTGAGCTTCCCATTTGGCCCCAAAATTCTCAGGTGCGATTTTTTGCGTAAAGTTTGAATGCTTTTCAAAACAAACTGCTCACGCATGCGTGAGTAGCCGTGACGTGCGATTGCATATGCGAATGCGAGAATGCTCCATAAGTACCATATTTCTTTAATTTTAATATTTATCTCATGTGTGTTGAGAAGTTGGCATCGGCTAAATTGTGTCGGCAACAGTGATGGGGGTTCTACAGATGAAATAATTAAGCTCTAGATTTATATTGTAATTAATGAAACTATGGATTTCTATAAATTATCTAACTATTTTTCATTATTACTGAATACAGAAAAACTCACTTATAGAAATTTAAATCAATTGAGCAATAAAACCTTCCTTTTGGACTATATTGTGATTTGCAGACTATGAAAATGAACTGCTTTTAAAATATATTTAAAAATTATTTGAGTACATTATACATTTTTTTAAATACATATATTGTAATGTTTCTAATATTGAATCGAAGTTTCTTATGCATTGATTGTCAATCCTTTAGCCAACAATTTTAAAGACATTTAGGAAAATCGAATTTTATGATTTTTATTGATAATAAAAAGCTGTGTTAAACAGAAAGCGTAACTCTTTTATTGTACTCTTGAAAAATTCTTAAACAATATTTTAAATGGGTAAGTTATTGTATCAATTATTTAGCCGAATTTGAGAATCTTGAAATCATGATCGTAAATACAAGTGCACCCTCAGAAATTTTTTCAGGGTGCTAAAAATATTTAGTGTAGTATTTCGAATTCTGTGTTTAAATATATTTTTATAGTATATTTGAATGTTTACATTAAAATGATTGTACAAGTTTCATCCAATAATTTAATTAAGGCTTTCAAACCAATAATATTTGGTAAATTTTTCACATTGCATTAATTTGATGCCTAAAATATAAATGGAAGTTCATTTTTTAATTAAATGTTAAAAGAAAGAAACATTATTTCTGGTGTTGCATAATTTTTAATTTTCTATTATAATTTTTTTTAATACTATATATCCTATTTAGCTTATTACAAAGCACACTTGCATTTGAGTTCCAATTCATTCTTAATTTTTCAATGCTAAAATAGTTTGTTTTTAGGACAGGCAAAATAAATATTGGTTTGACTTCTTTTTTTATGAGTACTTAAGTATGTGGTCTGAATTTAACTCTAAGATGGATGATTAAAATTTTTTCTCTCAAAGACTATCTCTACTGTATTTAATATCTATGATATTAAGTTCCCAATTACCTGTTCTATTATATTAAAAATTTAAGTTATTATTGAAATTATTGTTTTTAACATTAAAATTTTTATTTTTACGTTGAATTTTAATTTGATTTTCAGTTTTTCATTATTTTATTTATACTTTGATTTACATTGGTTACCTGAAAGACTTAAAAATTGTGCTCTCTATATGTGTATGGGTCATTTTCAAAGAACTTGCAGTTTAATTTATTACTTGCACTTTAATAATAAATGTATTGTTTTAATGTTCATTTGATTTTTTTAGAGTAAGATCAAATTACGTTTTTCTTTCATTTCTTTTACGTTTCTTTTTTTTCTTTCTGTTACTCTTCCATTCTGGTACTATGTCCATTGTAACAGCATTTATTTACTTTTTTTGTATTTTATTAAATAATAAAGTCTATTTGAAGAAAATATAGGTCAGGCATTAATATTTGTATGACTAAAATTCAGTTAAATACAAGAACATTTAAAATTTAGCTCTATTGACAGCTTTCCCCTTCGTTACCTTTTTCCATTCTCTTCCCTAACATTTATTAAACTTTATTCCCCTATATAATTTTAAATTTAATGATTTACAGTATAAATTTTTTATTGTTTTAGGTAATTGTTTTTTTTTTTTAATTTAAATTCTTTTGAACACTAGTTACAGAGAAATATTTATAATGTAAATTTAAGCTGTTTTATTTCCTGTTCTAAATGAAAAAATGCAATGCTATTTTAAGTTAATGGAAAAGAAAAAATTTCAAATACAGTAAAAAATTTTATTAGTAGCAATTCGAATATTTATTTCTTTTAGAAAATTTTTCTAAATACCTCTACATTTTGAAAATGGCCCATACATATTAATGAGTTTATTTTACCATTAAATTTTGAAATGCAACTTTTGCCTATAATTTATGACTTAGAGTGAATCCAACATGACATGTAACATGCATTATTAATAATAGTTTAAAAAAATAATGACCGTAAAAGGAAAAAAATAATTTTTAATTCATTAGATTTTTAGGTGCCTGCAATTGTTCTCTATTGACCTTTTTTCCTATTATTGATACATAAATATTTTATTTTGAAAAGTATTTAATTGTTACATACCGTGTAATAGTCTAAGTGATCATCTGGTAAGTGTTTATTGGTTTAAACTAGGTTATTTTCAATTAATTATAAAGTGCACATCAAAAGCCTATATTTTTTTGAGTTGGTAAATAAAAAAGTGGTACAAAATAACAAAAAAAAATTTTTATATACATTTTTTATGAACACCTTATTTTGTATATTTAAGTTTAAATTATTTAATTTTTTCCTTCAATTTAATTTCAATATCTAACTTTTTTCAATTTCATAATTTTAACACCTAAATTTTAGTGTTCCAGGTGAGAGGTTTTTAAATTTCAGTAGTTTTGAGCTAAATAACTTAAAAGTCAAACATTTGCTATTCTAGTGGAAGAATCACAAATGTTTGACTTTTAAGTGGTATGTGACCAGACTACCTTTGTACTTTAATAATACTAGTTTTGTGTAGATATTTAAATGTTAGTTAAAGTTGCTTTTTTATATTGCTGCCAAGTAAAATACATGAAATATTTAAAACGCATGATGTATATATATCTGCAGTTAGTGTGCGGAATTTCCACTCTCCATTGGGGACTTAATATTTAAGGCTGGTTAGTAAGTTTCAGAGTTATGTTCTAGTCTTGAGTGACTGAAATTGACTCTAGTGTAACAGAAAAAGGATTTGACACAAGAGCTGCACTAATGCTGAAAGACAGTGATATAGTATAGGGGAAAAGTAGGGAACATTTCTGATATTTTAATTTCAATGATATGTTGATGATATTAAAACCATTGAGACCTTATGACAATGCTATTTTAATTTAACATTGTTATTACTTTGCTGTAAATATGTTTCAGCTTTTCAAAATTACAACTGAAATTTCAATTTAAAAATTTTCAGCTTTTGGTACCATTTATATGGTTTTGGTCCCTAAAAAGTTCGTTGTTATACTATATCTTTTAACATTTTACGAATTGTTCATATTTTTCATGAAAATAGTGGCGAGCTGAAAGTTTAGACTTGCTAGTATCTTTAGAATTGCAACTTCATGTCTTGTACAGCGCCTGCCTTCTGTTTATTATTGTAATAGAATTCAGAGATCAGTAAATCAGAGAATGGCATGTTTATTAGAACATTACTCAGACAGAGAGTTACAAAGTTGAAACATACACTAATACACTGGGACAGGAGAAATAGAAAAGATCATCAGATAAACAGAATTACTACTTGTATGAGCCTTCTTGGGCTCAAACTCAATGTCCAATCAAAATGAGACTAAGAAGAAAAATGCCAATTTTTTATTTATAAAAATTTTTATTAGGATTTAAAGTATTTAAAATTTTCTAATTACAAAAAATGATCTGAATAAATGAATATATGTGACCATATTTACACTTTTTTCTGTTTAAGTTTTCAGGTATTTTTTCATTAAGCCACAATAACCGTCCTGTATTATTTAAAATGTGTTTTCAGCTTTTTTAGCAAGCTAGTCTAACGGTATATTTGTATACGATATAATGTGTGGGTAATATTTTAAAATTTTTCTTAAAGGGATTAAGATTTTTCTAAATGTCATTAAGTGTTTTAAAATCTAATTTTAGGTGTTTTTGTTGATTTACTGAGTTTTTGATGTATTCAGTGATACATTATCTGGTCAAAATTATCCACACACTCAGTTCTGCATTAAATCGACACTCAGTCGTCCATTAAAATCGACACTCAAGCAATTCACTTCACCTTAAAAATTTATTTCAATGTGTCAATCACAGCTAAAGTGAAGTGAGTATTGGCAGTGAGGATAGGAGGCGAACCACTATCAACATTGCTATATAGCTTCCAATTGTGCATTAAATTATATAACCTGCCAGATCCACTTCTTGAGGTGGTTGTTTGAATACTTTTGTCCAGTTAGTGTTTAACTTAAATTTTAATATGTCAGAATTTTTTATTGTTAGAATTTAAATTACTTGATTTGTGATATACAGAAAAAAGCAATTTTAAAATTAATATTTTACTGGTGTGAATATTACTTTCTTTTCTTTTTTTAATTTTCTTTGAAAATTTAGTTCTGAATGTTAAATTTTTTTTCCAGTTTTTGATAGAAATGAACAAGAAATTAAATAAAGAAATTTCCATTATACAATAAAGCCTCATATTTATCGTAATGGGCAACAAAGTCTCATGTTGCTCTTGTCAGAGTCCAACTTTTGCAAGAAAAGTTGATGAAGGTCATCTAGATGATTATAGCCGAAATTTCTATCCTGATGAAAGTATATCCAATCTTCAACATATAAGTGAAAGAGAACCAGAAGGTACATTTAGTTCTTTAGAAAGTTTATTTAGCTACTGAGATTTTAATTTAATTATTATTTTTCTTGTAAATGATTCAAAATTTATATTTACTCGACCATTATGCAAATGGTTAAATATCTACATTCAGTTTTTTTTTTTTTGAATAATAAATTAAAAGCATGCTTTTTTTCTTTTTACTGTTTTGCTACTTTAAAATTTGTTGCTGAGAAAGTTTTAATGTTTATTTCAGTTGTTAGTGAAATAAAAATAGTTTATATATTATGTATCTGTGATTCTGCTTACGTGCCTATTTTTTTTTTTTTTTTTTTTTCANTTTTTTTTTTTTTTTTTTTTTCTAGTTTCAAGTACGCCAAAAATCATAGGGAGGAGACGAAAAAGTTTCATTGTGCCCTTTGGGGAGATGTGTAATTCTCTTATTAAGGAAAAAAAAATACAAAATGGCAGCAGATTTAAATAGACTGAATAATAAAAGAAAAATGTTAAAAAATTTATTATTTTTTTGTATTAATAGCAAAATTAGAATATGAAAATAATTCTGAATATCAAACTAGATTGCTGTTTTTTGTTGCATTAACTCTAGTTTTGCTCTTCTTGTTTTGAAATTTTTTGTTTAGTGTACCAATCGATTAGATTTCTTAGAATTTTATTTTAGACCATTTTAAATGGACTGAGCTAAAATATTACAAAAAGATTTATTTTTCAACAAAAAAAAAATCTAAACTGAGAAATATTTGGAATTCAAAAGGGAAGCAAAAAATCTACAAAGGATGTCATCTTCAATGATTGTTTTTTGATTGAGTCTAAAATAATAATGGCCGCGTGACCGAGCTGACTCTAGTTGCTTGAATTCCATAGTTGTTAAAAGTTAATTTAATTTGTTTATATTAAATAATGTAATTTTGTTTTTATATTTAGTTGGAATGTTATAAAACACAGTATTTCAATTGAAATTTATTTTAGTTTTTACTTTGGTTTATTTATGACCATTTTTACCTATGAATACAAACTTTTGCATGCTATTTTATATATATTGTATTTGTGTTCTTTGTTCATCTTCCACAAATTGTACTCCTTTTTTCCTACCACAAATTTACAACCCTATCTATAAGTCTTGGTTTTATTTTCAGATTTTGATGCTGATCCATCTACTCACCCAACTGCTGGGCCATTATTTATGCAAAGATCTAAAAGTGATATGAGATGTAAGTTCTTAATTTTGCTCATTGCCCAGTTAACGTGTTTGAAATTTTGCTCTGTATGAGAATTTTTTATTAAGTACAATAGCGAAATTTAAAATTTTACTGTAAAAGATTCATACTCGCTTAAAAAAATTAATTGTTTTCTTCACCAACACAGATTTAATAAAAACATTAATTTTATATTTTAAAATTATGCAATTTATTAAAAATGCAAATCAAGTTTAATGTCATGCAAAACAAATTATTTGGACTTCAATACAAATAATAGTTAGAGACACTATATTATGAATTTTGCTGTAGGTTGCCCCACTATGATCATATTAATATAATGTAGTGGTTTCAGAAAATAATACCCAATACAAATGTTAAATTATTCTATTTGTAGACACGAAACAGACCAACTCACCCTGGCCTTCCACGTTTCCAACAAAATATTAACTTGCGTGTAATGTCGATCTAGTAATTTTTATAAGATTATCATCTATTAATCTTTGCATTTGTCTACCACAACATTTGACGAAGCTTCTGCAAGTTACTTTGTCCTGAATTGTATGCATACTTTTTATGAGTTCTCTTTTAAGTAAAATTCAATTAAAATTTCCAAATACTTTAAGAAATATTATAAATTTTATCTTTAGGTAATTTTTCTTCATAAATTTATTATGTATCCCCTTTTTCTAGATTTTCGAGAGAAAAGGAGAAGCCATAGTAATGTAAGTATCTTGATGTTGATTCATAAATGATGTTAATGTGAATTGGAATATATGATTCTGAATTATACTAATATAAAAAGCATGAATGATTATTTTAAACCTGCAATAAGAATTAAGAAGTGTGATAAAAAGAACTTATTTCAATGGAACTTCATTACTGACTTTTTTAAAGTTATTATGTTCATGAAGATTGATGTTTTGCAGCTGTTAGACTGTCAATATATGAGAAACTTTCGAAATTTTACTGTTAGCACTGATCAATTGCACTAAGACAAGTAAATGGCCTTCCTTTAAATTCTGTACAAATATGAGCAAGCATTTATAAAACAGTGCTTTCCATCATTATTGTTAAACCAAGACTGTACAAGTTCGAGTGTACAGCTGCATCAAGGCCAGGTGGCAAGGATTTGATAAATTTTCCATGCCTCCGTAAAAGGAGGTGAGAGAATGAGCAAGTTGAATTGAAAATAAGATTTTTTTAAAAAAGAATTCTTAGGATTTGTTTTATGGTATTTTGATTTTTTAAAAAGCAAAAGTCACATTACATTATTTATCACATTAGACTAGATAGATGGGAGCCTATTGTGTGGTCAATTAAACTGTATGTTCTATAAATAGATTACAATTTTTCTGTTTATGAGTGCTATGCAATTTGGTATTTTATGTAATCAAGGATTTATTTATTTTTCAGTTACTAGAAACTAGACCTTTAAAGAAATCAAGTTCATGTTCCACTATTTATTTAGATGATAGCACAGTTAGTCAACCAAACTTAAAAAATACGATCAAGTGTGTTGCCTTAGCAATATATTATCACATTCGCAATCGGACATCTAATCGTACCCTAGATATATTTGATGAAAGAATTCACCCATTGTCAGTAAGTATTATGTATTTATAATTTTTAATCGCTAACTATCAGTTTCAAATTTAGTTATGCTTTTCTGCTGTTTCTGTCAATAATTACTCAACATAGAAATGTGTATAAAGATGTAAATTTGTATTTCTATTAGGTTTACTATAGTAAATTAAAATATAGTGTGCATTGAATCCCTCATAAACTATTATTTTTTGTGGACATTGCTAACTATAATTTTGATATATTAAAAATTTATACTCCGGGTGTCAGAAAATGAATTTCAACTCAGCATTTATGTTCAATCTCATTTTTGAAGAAGATTAACTAACTAAAGTACAGAATATATCAATTGTAAACCAATTTTTGTTTTTTTTTTGTTTTCTCAAAAAAGCTATTAACCCTTGAACCGTCAATCTTTTTTGAGCAAACTCCAAAGATTCAATATTTCTTTTCCATTAAACTTAATATAACTATAGAAAAACCAGTTAATTGTCCGGGAAATCAACCAACTCCTTTACCTAACAGACAATTTAAAGCTTAATGTAATTAAAAGTAATTTTATCCTTTCTTCTAATTTATGTTAAAAATTATCTGTAAAATTGCAGGGCTATTTTTACCCTGGGAAAAAAGGAAAAAACTGGTAGTTAATTTATTCATTTCTAGTTTATTTTAAGGAGGAGTAAAAGAACCCTGACTTTTAGACTTATTGACAATTATAACTTTTATGTAAGACTGTTTCTGATGGTTTAATATAATTTTATAAAATCTTATTTCTTCCGAAAACTGGTTACTCTTTTCTGAAGTATGAACAGATCTACATGTTAAATATATTAAAAGTCTGATATAATATCTATGGCATATGCGTATCCCAAATGATTGTCAAGATATAAAAATTATGTATAATAATGTCTTAAAAATAGCTAAATATTCACTGTGATGTCTATAAATATTTAAGAGGAAATATGTTTTGTTTTATGTGAAGCAAGCATTATATTAATAGTAGATAATTTAATTAAACATTAATTAATGTTTTAAATCATAAACACCACAGTGTATCTCTGCAAAATTACAGTAATAGTTTCAGGAACATTGCAGAGCTGAATCATGTTTAGAGAATCTTGCTTGTTATTATAAGTATCCTTAAGAGTTGCAAGCATAATTATAACTTGCATTATTTTTTACTTTTTTTTTCTTTCATTCCTAATAACAAATTTATTTTTAATTTATAGAAAGATAAGATTCTAGATGATACTGATTTAAAAGATCCTGACCATCGTAGTATATGTAGATTTGTTAGAACCTTATTTAGTGCTGCTCAATTAACTGCGGAATGTGCCATAATAACTCTTGTAAGTTATATCTTATTTATATTGTATTTTAAAAGTTGATATTTCTGTAGAACTTTGTCGATTATGTAATAATATGTATAAAAAAATAATAAAAACTAAAATTTCTTTGGTAATATGTAACCTCATTTCTATAAATTAAGCAATTGCATCAGTTAACTCAATCAAGGCAGTGCTTTCTTTCTCTTGTAAGTCTTATAAGATTTTAAATGTCAAAATTGTGATATTTTATGTTAATATGGATACAGCTTTTAGTAAGATATATTTATCCATGCACATTAAAAAAGAAAAATAATAATTTACTTATACCTTTCTTTTATAAATTAATAAGAAGGTTTCAAGTAACATTAAAACTAATCAAAAGATTATTATTAGATCATAAAATTAATATTTTTAATTCTAAAACGAACCATTCTTTCAACTCCTGCTTATAATAATCGTGAAAAAATGTGCATAAATAATAATGACTCATTTTCTAAAAGCTGTTTTTGTGATCTTTCAAAATACTTTAATTATTTTGTCCAAGGTTGCCACGCTACTTTGAAAAGTCCGGGAATTTAACATTTTTGAACCAAAATCTGGAAAACTGGAGTTTGATTCTCCGAACATGCGACCTTTGCGCTAACATTTTCTGTAGAACACATTCCCTCTATCACCAAGGTTTGATATATGAATTCAATTAAATTCGTTATTAAGAACTCCCGGGAAGCATGGGAATTGCTGTTCCATTTGGAAATCATAAAGCAATAACTTAAATATCCTGGGGTTGATCCAGGTTTTATTTTAGGGCCATTTTTGTAAAGAATGGAAATTATTTTTCTGGAAATTTTATAATTGATTAGGAACATTCAATTTTAGCAATCACTACTTTTTATTCCAATTTATTTATTTATAATTTTTTTTTTTTTTTGTAAGTCCACCATGGTGCGTAGCATTTTTAAAAAGTGCTTAAAGGTGCTTCTTGCATTAGGTGATTTTAAAAAGTGCTTAGTTTTCCATTTTAGAAAATGAAATCTTTTTCTTTACCAGGTCGATTTTTGCTGCGTATTATGCAAAAGCATGCTTTTCACATAGTTCTATTCAACATTTTCACAATTCATTCAACCACAATTCATTTTGGCCTATCGTGGGTCAATAGCATATGAAAGCGCCATTTACATGTTTGATGAAATATTTGCGAGTCTGCATGAACATCTACTGAGCTGGGTTCGGTGAAAATAATGCACTCTCATGTGCAACCTTGCTACATTTTGCAAGATATTCTCAATTTCAGGCTTCATTTTCTACCCTCTGATTTCGAACCGAAAAATCTTTCAATCTTTTTATTTTGGCTAATATAATCAAGAAAAAGAGTTTTTTTGTCAGAAACTTGTTATTTTATCATGATCATGTAAAGTCTTTTAAAATTATTTTGTCTTTGTTAATGCATATAGTGCTTGAAAATATTCTTTGAGTGCTTAAAAAATACTTAAAAGGTGCTTTTTTTTTGTTGAAAGATTTGACTACGCACCCTGTCCACATATTTTTCGGCCACACTCTATGTTTTTCAAATTCTTGAGTATTTTATACGTTATTCTGACATGCGCATTTCAAATTTGTGCCATCCCTTTTTTTGAAGCGTTCAATTTAACATTAACAGTGCTAATCTGACTAATAATGAAAATCGAAAAAAAAATCATTGACTCAGCAGGGAGTAGGTAATGTTGGCAATAAACAACAAACCTTTATGTTTACTTCGACTATCAGTTCTCACTGAACATTGTATAGGTAGGCTTGTTTTTTGTTTATGATTCTTTCTAATATTGCATCCTTTATTTTGAAATTTTAACTGATTGTTTTATATTTAGGTTTATTTAGAGAGACTTTTAACCTATGCAGAAATAGATATTGTTCCTAGCACATGGAGACGAATTGTTTTGGGTGCAATTCTTTTATCTTCTAAAGTTTGGGACGACCAAGCAGTTTGGAATGTAGATTATTGTCAGATTCTTAAAGATATTAGCATAGAAGACATGTAAGTTTAATTCAGTTGATTTTCATAATTTTTATTTTATCAATTGTGTAATTGCTGTATCGTGCACAAAATAAGAAATAGAACACCTTAACTTTCTATCTATTGATCCCATACTATAGTGCAGTCTTAGTGGTTGGGTTGGGTAGTTATCTTTACATATGCTACAGCATTATTACTGTAAAATAAATATTTTTTATTTGTTGCTTCAATTCTAGATTGGCAAAATTTTGATATTTGTCAGTTTTTGATGGTTTAAATCATAGATAAAACTGTCCAATCACGAACCTTAGAAGTATCATTTATGTATTAGCATAAATTCATATTTTAAATAGCCCATTTCAAATACTGCTGAAGATCAGATATTGAGTTCTACTTTTCTTATAAAATTTAACTTATGTTGAAAGAAAATGTTTGGAAAAAGATAATCCTTTTATTACATAAATATACTTTAAATACAGACCACTATATGCTAACAAAAGATCGTGTGAAAGCTCTATGTTGTTTTAAAGAAGATATTCTAATAATAGAAAAAAATTAGTTTTAAGTCACTTGAAATTTATTTATTTTTTTAAATTTAGAAGCAGATAAATTAGTATAAATAAAATTTTTGTCCTAGTTACTTATACTGCAGTTGATAACACTAAAATTAAATGTTTGATAAATCAAATTATATAAAGTTTTGCTTCTTAATAGTTAAATAATAGTTGTCTGTTTTATTACCATTATTATTTTATTAAGTAAGTTATCTGTTTTATTTTTTATGAAAGTATCATATAAGTGGAAAATGAAATTAACTAACAAACATGTTATTTCTTTCTATTTTATGCTTAAAATTGTTACAAAGAATTTAGTTTATTTATTTGGTTTTAGGAATGAGTTAGAAAGACAGTTTCTTGAAATGCTACAGTTCAATATTAATGTTCCTGCTAGTGTATATGCAAAATATTACTTTGATCTACGAAGCTTGGCTGATCAAAATGAATTAACGTTTCCTACTGAACCTTTGAGTAAACAAAGAGCTCAGAAACTGGAGGTCTGTTTCATAAATGATTTTAATGTACATTGTTATTGAATTATTTTCTTTCTTTTTTTTTCAATAACTATTTATTTTTAGGAATATATGAATATGCAACTAATGTTGTGTTAAAAAAATTAATGTTGGTGTTAAATTAAAATGTTAATTTTTGTGAAGGTCAGTGCTATGAAATTTTTAAAGTATAGTTTATTTTATTGATAACATAAAAAATTACTAATGTTTTCCCAACATAAGTTGAAACTTGTAAAAATAATGAAAACAGTCTAATGTGTTTTCATGTCCAGATGAATTAAGTATACCTGGCCAACCTTAAATGGAGATTTCTCACAGCAGCACATTTGTTTGTATATGTTCTGTAATTACTTCAACTTAAAAATTTAACAACATTGACACAGTATTAGTTTTACTCTATTTAGTTTTTTTATTATTAAATGATAAACGCTGATCTTTAAGATCAGATTAGCAGTTGAAAGGAGCAATGGTTTTTTTGCAATAAAAAATTAACTAGGCAAATAAAACAAGACCTGGCCAAAATATCATCCAATATAAGATATGGGAAAACATAATTAGGTTTAACCTATCCCCTGAATAAGAAGACTGGCCATTTGTCCTGCTGGCTAGTACCCTGTCAGAGACAAACATGTCTAATAGGGTGATGATTTCCTCAAACAGCTACACAACTCTCACGTCAGCGTTTCATACTGTTTAGCAGGGTCTTGATCAATCCTTGTAGTAACCGCACCCATTCTTAAGGTAACCTTGAGCTCAACAATGGTTGTTGGAGCTAGTCTGAGTTGCAATTGAGTATCTAAGGGCTTCCCATATGTATCTGACGGGATTAAGGTCAATGGACATTACTGGCCACTCCAATTGTTAAATATCCTCTGATTTGGAGATATTTGTCCACCATCTGGACCTGGTGTGAATGAGCGCTATTGTTCTTAAAGATGAAGTTTGGTTCATATACTCTGTGGAAAGTCTTACATAGGATGCAAGGATCTCTTACCTATACCGCTGATCTGTAATAGTACTTCTATCGAATCCCGGGTTCTCTCCTATTGAGAATACGTCTGGAGTTGCTGTCCAGACTGAAGAGGACGTGCTCCAAAACAACCTTTGTCCAAGACAAGTATTCTCGACGCCATGATTATTTTTGTGGTTCTCAGTCAAGGGTATGCAGACTACTACGCATCTGGCATGCAGGCCATCTGCTTTAATTAAGTCTCTGTAAAATGAATGTGTCTGTTACATTGTACAGGATGTAGGCCAGTTCTTTTGCTATCACAAATCTATCCCTTTTGGCTGGAAGTCTCGAGGCGGCTTTGTTGCCCTTTTGTGGCCTTGACCAGTTTGGTGGACCATTATTTCTGTCTCGGTGAAGTGTTTACTCAAAGTGAACATCATATTCTGATCCCTACAGTTAATAGCTTGTTATTGGCCTGTGTGGAGTCTTCTAACTATCCACCATCTTGTGGCATCATCTAGACTATGACAATTGACCATTATAATGATGTGTGAGCAATGAAATTCAAAAAACAAGGATTGTGCTAAGCTGCGATATTTCACAACGTCCTTGCTCTAGAAGCTTCAAATAAGGTACCTATACACAAACGCAATCACAGTGGCACTACCTTATGATGTCACAGGCCACTGGTCTAGAGGTGTCCTTGAAGAAGGTAGCTATCATCTACCTTATTCTTATCGGCATTACTTATTTCTTTTTTATGGAAACGGTTCCTCCCACTAATTGTTGTCATTAGTGTTTTTCATTTGATATGCTGTCTTATAGAAAGGTCTAAATTTTCCCTTTTCAAATTTAAAACTTCTGAAACATTTGCAAATCATGATACATTCTATTGCTTTTCATTTATTATTCAGTATCTACACACATTTAAAAATAAATAATGAAAAACTATCAGGATTTACAAATGTCATAAGGGCGGATGAAGTTTTATAGTACAGTAGAGAACCATTTATCCGGTATCCAGATAACCGGGAAAAATTTTGCTCGATTTTCCCGCCATTTTAATCTAGAACGAAAAAAGCGGAAATTGGACTCATCCTTGAAGTTGAGTAGAGGAAAATGTAAGGAAGGGGGAAAAAATTTTCCCCATTTACCCAGAGAAACGTCATTTCCTCCATGACCTTGAAGGCAGGGAAGGGGGGAATGTTTTATTTTTTCCTTTAGGCCGTCAATCAAATTCAAGGGTGTGGCATGCTGATTTCGTTTTCTGCTTGATTTACGAGGGGGGTGGGAAAAATGCATTGCATGCATATCAGTGAACAGGGAAAAAAAAGAGAAAAATATATTTATTTGACATCGACTAATAAAAATAAAATCTTTTTCTTTTGAATAAATTCTCATTCTTTGGAAGTGCGGTATCAATTGCAAGTTTTTCTTGGTGTGGAATCACATCTGCTGTAATTAAAAATCTTGTTTTTATCAACAAAAAAAAATAAAGTAAAAGGAGAATTGTTTATTAATTTAAACATAGGATTATTTTATGAAGCAGATTGCAGTTTTGTTTTTCTGATTCCACTACGTTTGATTTTTTTTCTTTTTGCACTCAATAAATTAATTCTTTTTATTCATAAATTTTATCATTAGGTTTTTTTATTTTATTATTCCGTTGATCTTACCTTGTTCCGGGTTTTAATATTTATGCTAGTGCCTTTTTTAACTATCGTTTTAGTTCGATAATTTTCAAGTGTTTTTATTTAGATTAATAAGTTTTCCGTTTATTTTATTGTTTCCCCCCGTATAATTAGGTATGAAATATATTGCGATATTTAATCATTGGTTTTGTTTATATTATTTAATTTAGGAATTGTAATTATTTTTTAAAAAAAAATATTAGAATTTTGTATTTTTTAAACTTGATTTTCTTGTCTAAACTTTTTTATTCTTTTAAATGTTGTATTTCTACCATTTTTTTTTTTCTTTTTAAAGTTAGGAGTACCTTTCTTTTTTCTCTTACTTTATGCATTACACTCTTTCGTTGTACTTCGGATTCGATAAAACATCGATTAACGACACTTTTTGGTCGATCCAGAAAACCGGGAAATTCAGATATCCGGGATAGCGATGGTCCCGAGCATCCGGGATAATTGGTTCTCCTGTATTAGTATAGAAAGACTTCAAAATTGTTTATATTTTTCATAGTGCTGATTTAATTTTGCTGCATGTAAAATACTCCTGAATTTAAATTTATTCAGTTTGCTTTATTCTTAGAACTGTAAATAGTAATTCTGTTACACAGTTTTTTTTTTATGTGTTTTAAATTATTTAAATAGCAAATAACTTCCAAGACTAATTTAATAGGGTTGGTTTTTTGGGACTTATATGGAAAAGCAAGTCAAATTTTTTAATGGTATTTAAAGTTTAAATTTACTAAACATTTGTACCTATGTTTTACTCATTCATTTATTAATAAAATAAACTAAAGTGTCTTATTATTAAAAATTTCCATGCATTCATAATAAGATAGCCATGAAGACTGAAAAAAGAAAAACTAAATGTAGTTTTGCTGTTTTGTCCTTTTGAATATATTTTAACTAATAAATTATGCTACTTTGAAGAGTTTGCATTAAGTATTTTTCTTTTTTTTTTAGCATGTGAAATGGAAAAAAATATATATATAAATAACTCAGATTATATTTTTTAGGCTATGTCTCAAGCTATGTCCAGTACATTAATGGACTTGCATCAAAATGGTATTAGAAAATGGTATAGTTTAGACAACTTTATTGTGTTACGCAAAAGTGCTGCTATCTTATCCTGACGAAAGTGGAAATTGATTTGTAAAATTCTAGCTCAGGTGCTTGCCAAAGTTGTTGTAGGAAGAGAAATATCTGGCTGTGATCATGATTCTATGTCCACAGTATTTAGAACAGCATTTCTGAAACTTGTGGAATTATCCTTATACCATCCATGATGTTAAATATATCCTATACTCTGTGCACCTGTTCTTTTTTATACAAATGTGAAAAAGTGATAGTTTGCAATGTATTCATTTGAATAGTTCTTTTGTAAATTAGAATTTCTTTTTATATATACTTACTTGAAAAATGTAAATGACTGCTTAGACACGTTATATTGAAATGGTACTTATATTAAAAGGTAATTGTAGTTCTCCTTATTAATATAATTTTATTTTTAAATTATTTTAAATCAAGTTATAGGCTTATGATTAAGTATACTTTTAGCAATTCAAAAAAATTCTTATTGCGCTACATTCTACCAATTTGCTAAGTATCTTTTGTGTTCTTTTAATTTGCTTTCAAATTGCAAAAGTTTTATACATATTTACATTCAATTAATTGATCGATAGTTTTTAAAAAGTTTACATCATTTGAAAATGAATTGATCTATAAAATATATAATTGGCCTATCTTTTTGCTGGCTTTTTTTTTCCCATTGTTATATACTATATACAGTATATTACAAACGTCCTATTGTTATAATTCAATTTTTTATTTTTTTTCTCATAAAATTATTTCAAAATTACTATATTTTCAGCCATTTTTACATTTAGTTGATCAGTAATTTTTAAAAAGTTTACATAATTTCCAAATGAATTGATTTACAAAATTTATAATAATTAGTATAGCCTTTTGCTGATGCATATTTTATCCCTTGTTATATTTTGTTTACAATACTACTAGTTCCCCATTGTTATATCTATTTATTATATTCTTTTGCCCTAAAATTTACTTTTGAATTATATTTTTACTTTCAATCAATCAATAATTTTAACTTATTCAAAATGAATTTATTTACAAAATCTATTATAATCAATATAGCGTTTTGCTGATATATGTTTTCTATTATTATATTTTGTGTACAATATAGTGCTAGTTTTTCCATTGTTATATTTCAATTAGTTATATTCTTTTGTCTTAAAATTAATTTTTAAATTAAAACATTTTTAATCATTTTTACATTCAATTGATCAATAATTTTTAAAAAGTTAACATTTATATAAGAATCAATTTACAAAATATATTATAATTGGTATAGCTCTTTCCTGAAGTGTGTTTTTTCTATTGTTATATTCCGTGTACAATATATTGCAATTTTCCCTTTGTTATGTTTCAAGTCAAGTTCCCCACTATTTAAAAACAAAAATACTTTTCTCTCATCTAAAACTTTTTGTTTAATTTTATTTTAGGAGAATAAAGAAAATGCTCAACAATTAAGTGAGATAACCCATTATTCTTCACGGCCTTTTTTATTATATTGTTTACCTTATTTTTTAGCGTTTTTTCTTTATTTTACAGTTGCATTATTTTAAAAAAATCTATTTTTTCTAAGAATGGTGCTTCCATGCGATTAAAGGAGAGGGATGTCTTCCTTCTTAAACTGTTTCTCTGTTTATTTGTTTTTCTGGTATTCTAATTTTCATTTACTCTTATTCCACAGATTGGATTTTAAACAGTTATTGTTTATTCTCAGGAAAGGTAATAGATTGCCTTTTACTTTGTTCTAAATTTTTTCCTTCGAATTCTGGCGTTCGCATATAAAATTTTGTATATAAGTGCCTTGAAAATTTTCAGCTTAAATCTTTTAAGAAGGAAATTTATGAAGCTATCTCAAGCTAATCAGCATTAGTTTTACTTAGAATAGTGTATATCCATTTTTTTAGTGATATGTGACAAGCTCATTTTGTTTTCTTTAAAATTTGAAATGATACAATTAGCACTGTTTACTTCATTTAGTTTTAAAACGTTCTTTACTCTTAAAAGTAGTATCTATTATATAAGTATCATTTACAGTAGCCTTTATAAATTGCTAATTTTTAGAAACTTGTTTAAAAATAAATGAAGTGTTATCTTTTGAGCATTCCGAAAGTGTTATTCATAAGTGCACTATTTTTTTAAGAGCCAGTTTTTTTAAGAGTCTGACAGGGTTGGATGCTTCACATTTTTGATTTTATTGAAATATTCAGAATATGTTTTTTATGTAAAACTATTTGAGATATATATATGTATATTTGCTAGGAAATTTTTTTTTTTTCGAAGTTTTAGGGTGTCAATATTTTGAAAAAACACATCAATTTACAAGTGGCAATACAATTAAAAAAACAAGTGAATCACAACACGGACTGCTATTTCACACTAATTATTAAGACATACTTTCAGTGGACCCTTGTATCTCAGATCATTCAAATATCTTTAAGAAAAAGCTACTTTCTTAAACTTCGACCATCAAAATCTACTAATATCAACTGTAAAACACAAAGGTGTATATTTCTTTCAATACATTCTAATGAGTAGTACCTAAAAAAAACAAGCATGTGTGGTGTATATTTAGTGTGACCTTAAAATTGTTCTTGAAGCACCAAAAAACTGAAATTTGCGCATCTTTCAAGGTCAATAACTGCCTTCACCAAAACGAGACAAGTATGAAATTTGCTGCAAAAAAAGCCTTAAGTATAACAGGAACAAAATCAATTCACGGAATATGTTTACTGATTCAATTTATAATATGGCTGTGATACCTGATACCTGATTAATTGAAGATAGAGATAGTTTGATACCTGAGTAATTGAAGATAGAGATAGTTATGCAGATCTCATAGTTGTCCTATATTTCCCTTATTTTTGAACGAATTTCCATTAGGTGTCTTTTTCTTTTTAATATAAAGTTTCAATTTCTGCATTTTTAGAACTTTGTTGAAGTGCGCACAACGAAAGGAATTTCAAACAAGAAGTAAAAAATACTGTAACTTCATTTATTTACTGAGAAAAAACCAGTTCTTGTAAATAAGGAATAGATTCAACCATTTTCCTAAGGGAGAATACAAAAGGTTGTGTTTTCCTTCATTCCATGACCTTTATCAAAAAGTTGAATCAGTAACAATAGGTATGTGAATTGATTTTGTTTCTGCCATACTTTAAGGCTTTTCTAGCAAATTTCATACTTGTCTAGTTCTAGCAAAGGCAGTAAATGATCTTGAAAGTTGTGCAAAAATTTCAGTTTCTTGTTGCTTTAAGATCACGACTAATAAACACCACTTATGTTTATTTTTTTAAGTTCTAACATAGTATGTATTCACTGTTAGCCTCTTTTAAATATTTTTGAATAACTTTCAATACGAAGGTCCCCTAAAAGTATTTATGCCTTAATAATTAGTGTGAACACAAGTAGAACATAAAATAACAGTCAGTTCCATGATTCATTCATTTCTCAAAAGGTATTGCCACTTGTAAATCTATTTGTTTTTCTCAAAATTCTGGAGGATCTTCCATTTTGACTCCCAAAACTTCAAGAAAAAAATATTTTTCTTCCCAAAAATGAAAAAGAGAGTGTAATAGTTTTACATCAGGAACATATCCTAAAAATTGAAGGAAAATCAAAAAAATGCAGAGTATCTAAAACTGCCTGATCTGTCCGATTATAAAGAAAACTTGTTTTTAACTAAACATGGAGAAATGCATGCTTGTATTAAAAAAAGATTACTAAGTTGGATGTTGGAAAATTCCAAGTCAAATGCTCAGAGGGTCAACAGCTGTGTTATTTTCATTATTTCACTAGTTGTCCAAATGCGACTGTTATTATTCTTTCATATACGATCCATGTATTTTACTTAATCGTCCATGTTAAGGTAAATATTTACCATTAGCTTTTTCTATGCAATATAAACCAATATCTATGCAATTATTGTATTCAAATAAGATTTTGTACTGTTTAGCTGTAATAAGTGTAAGTAAATCTGATTTAATTTTACATTTAAATGTATTTCATTGTATCCATGGTTACTGCTTAAAAAATAAGTAAATGTATCAACGAGTTTTGAAGTAAAAAAAATTTCTTCCTGCATAATCTTCTAGTCTGTAACACATCAGCAAAAAGTATTGCATTTTCATATTGGTGGATGCTGCAATAATTTATCTCAATTTTTTGAATAATGACTTCCAATATACTAAATGCTTATTTACTTATTTTGTTTACTTTAAGTAATTATTCTTATACAGTACTGATCTAGTTTTCAATGTGTAGTCTTAATGCTAATTCTGCATTACAATGATTGGTCTGAATCATTTAATATCAGATTGGCTAAATAAGGATAATTATATTCAGTTTTTTTTTTTAAATAAGGAGTTGAATAAAATGTGTTTTCTACAAGTTAAAATGCTAAAGTTTTCTACAAAATTTTATCATTGAAGTTCATGCAATAAACTTTTCTTGAATAAATAGTTTTATTTTAAATTTAAAACTTGAATAAAGTTTTTTTCTATGCATTGTTTAAAAAAATGTTTGTGTCCTAGTGGTTATTAAATTTTGAGGAAAAAAAAAATTTCTTTTCAAACAAACCTGAAAAGAATATAAACAATATATTTTCTACTAGTGAGATGTCCTATTTTTTTTTTATTTGTATGTCTAAGAAATGTTTTAAGTCTATTATTGTGTTAATATCTGTTGCAGAATATTAATTTTTAGAAACACATAGTTTTATTAATTAGCAGGCATTAATACAATACAATCATTTTTTACAGTAGTTTTTATAAATAACATATGAAGATTTTTTTTCTTCTTAAAATAGATATTTTATTTTATGACATTTTTTTTTTCAAAGTTGGCAGCTAATTTAAATAAGAAATTAGCATTCTTACACTGAGCTTTGTCACTGTTGTAAAATAGGCTTATAAAAAACTTGCTGTCCATTTAAATTAAATAAGTTTTCTCTATTCACTTCAAAGTCGTTATTTCCGTGTAGCATTAGATGTGAATTACTGCTTTATCATTATGTTCTTTAAGAAGGTTACCATGAATCTAAGCTACTCATTTAATGTATTAATCTATGTACATTATCAATTGCACTCTTACCTATTTTGTTTATGTAATTTCATCAATCTTTGTTATATTTATTAGTTTTAAAATATAAATGCCTTATTTAATTTTAAGTGAACTTCATTACTGCCAACTTTTTGCAATAGATTTTTCCCAGTTGAAATGAAACCGTAATAGCAGAATTTAATTTTGAAAGATCTTACAGAAATCACTACATAATCAGCAAATTTATTATATATCTAGATATGTTTGAATTGTTAGCTGTTGTAATCAATTAAATATTAATCGCAATTTTCGATTCCATAAAGCATAATAAGTTCTTCCTCATAACGGCTAATTTTGCAATTTTAATGTTGAATGAGTAAAATTTTGGTAAATTTTGATACTAGTCTTGTTAAATTCATTGCAGTTTCTATCTTATCATTTTTAATTGCTGATGTACATTATGATTTTAAGTTTAAGAATTGAACTAATGTATCTTTTTATTTTTGAGTTCATTATGTAAATGTTTTTCACTTAGTTTATCTTTAAAATTGACTGTTAATTTATCCTAGCACTCTAATGGTCTTGCAGGTCGAATTGGGTATACTATGAAAAGCAATAACTTGGAAGTGCCAAAAGCAAAAGTTAATTCTAATCCTATATAAAACTACTCATGTAGGCAATAAAATTTCATTTTCCTAAAATTTGACAATAATGGTAGATTAATTGTGACTTTTGACTAGAAGTATTATTTAAATTATTGCAATTTTATAGAAGCTCCGGCAATCATACGGATGCTTACTCTATTAATAGGAGAAGGTCTATACTTCTCCTTGCAACCTACTCAGAAAACAGATCTTGTGACATAGGCTATCATACAGTCCATTCTCCCTCCATTCTATCTTCAAAATTGCTAAATTATAAACTTATTTAAAAGATAATAAGTTATATTTAAAAAAATATTCAATTATATGAAAACATTTCCATTACAAAATTACTACATCTCCGTTCTGATATTAACATCTAACTGTCTTTTTTAATGGTAACCTTATTCATGAATATCACCAAAACTGCTTTACCATTATTCTCTTTGGTTGCCAAGGCAGTTACACTCTTTTTCTAACATGATTATTTAAAATATCAATTACACTGATGACAAAAATACTTCTCTTTCTTATTTAAAAATGCAAAAATAAACTAAAAATATTCAAAATGCAAAGCATAAATTGGTAATTTTTTAACTCACAGTTGAGGTGCCAAAAAAAAAATTATTTTTCTCTTTTTTTTCCCCTTAGAAATTACTGGCAATTAATTAAAAATGTCCAAATTTTTTTTCCTATTAAAGTATCTCTTCGTATAATTAATAAAATATGTGAAAACCAAACAAATTTTGATATTTGGCTTCCTTTGTTCGTTTTTGCTTTTGAATTCAATTTAATAAAAAATAAAAGATTTTTTTTAATACATACTGACCAAATTATTTTTAATGACAAGTATTACTTTCCTACATCTAATTATAAATATATTTTTACTACTTTTATAGCTAAACATATACAAAGTTTAATACTGTATCAATTTCTTAGTAAATTTTTTCTTGGTGAAATACATATTTCTAACTCCTGTCAGAACAGAAATGTCTTTTTCATGTACTTGCTTCTAAAATTGTGATACAATTCTGCTTGTACGACTATAAGATGGTTAGTTAGTATATTAATTACATTTTAGTGTCTTACTCATTTTACTATGACTTGGCTACCATCTTTACAAGCTAAATTTGCTTGCAATAAAGATTAATAAACTTATA